AAGAGATACAACACCAAGTGGAATAGAAAGAAGGATCTCGTCCAAGGAAGTCAGTACAAAGGCTATTCCACGTAAGAACATCTGGCGCCTACTGTGGGGTGGAGAGAAACTTCCCTTCGGCCAAGCTAATGGTTTCAACCCAAAGCCACAACAGGAGAGCAATAGAATACAACAATCGATCAAAACATGTTAAGGATGAACGACGAGGCAACCCTTAGGCGACTACTCGAGCATATTGAGCTCATGCGACAACAGAATGCAAAGGCCTTGGAATCCATCTATGCCCAACACCAAATCGATCTCCAGGCATTACGTGTTGAGAACAAGTGCATAAGTGCCCAACTCCCTTAGTAACCTCCTCAACAACCTCCTTCATTGAGTAATCACCTGAAAGAAGAGCACTAGTCCCCTCACCGCAATCGACGCATCATAGCACTACACCCACACATTGTTCAGTCCATGAAGTTACCCAAGCACTTACCCTGTCTCACCCACATCGAGCACGAGTTCGGCGACACCCATTTGTGGACGGTATAATGGAAGTACCCCTCTCAGCGGGGTGGACACCCTTAAACATCGATCGGTATGACAGGGCCACCGACCCGAACAAACACATCGATACGTACGTCACACAGATGAACCTGTAGACCAATGACGACACCATCATGTGCCGAGTCTTCTTCACCTTGCTAAAAGGATCGACGCTCAACTAGTACATCGAACTACCACCAGGGTCCATCGACAACTTTGAAACCTTCGTGTAGCGCTTCATAGCCCAATACACCACTATCCGACCCTATCATATCACCTCGGCAACCCTCGCCAACCTAAGACAAGGGAAAATGAGTCCCTGAGGAAATTTATGGAATTCTTTGCCAATGTTTCCATCAATATCCGCAACCTCAACCTTGAGGTTGCCCTGCATTCCATGCTTATGGCTCTTAAGCCACGATCATTCGTTGACAGACTCTACCGATAACCCTTCACTTACATGGACGATTTCCATGCCCGAGTTATTGGGTACATTAAGATGGAGAAACACGTTGAGTGCCGAGAAAAAGTCTGTAGGAGATCACAAAGCAAACACAACCAAAGCTACATGGACAAACTAAGGGCATCGAACGAGACTCAGTTAAAAAAAACTCATCAAGGCCAAAATTTCATATATGAGTTCTACATTCACTAAACTCACTCTGAGTCCACATCTTAGAAGAAGCCAGCATAACCCTACCACCACCAAGGCACAATCCCAACAACGCTGATAAGTCCAAACATTACTACTACCACAGGAACTTCGACCATACGACGGAGGAGTGTCGGACACTCAAATATCAGATCAAAGAGCTCATTTTGGCTAGTTAGCTCAATCAATACATCTAACGATCCCAATCTCACCGAGGTAGATACCAGACCACAGTTGAGGCCGCGGGCGTGGTCGAGGCTCCCACTTGAAGCTGATCAACCCTTAAGTTCTTGACAAAACACCAACAACACCGAGCCACAAGAAATAGAGAAGGATAGAGAACATGCCCCCCTTCATGGAGTAATCAACACGATCGCGGGAGGATTCGTGCGGGGTGGCACAAGCAACTCGTCCCGCAAGAGACAATTATAGAATGTCAATAACATCCACATCAACTCTATAGGTCCTACCTAGCACACTCGATCGATCACTTTCACGGATGACGACTACACTAACATCAACCCAAACCAGGATGACCCCATGTTTATTATAGTTGAATTAGCCTACTAGGAGGTCCATAAAATGTTGATTAACCAAGGAAGTTTGGCTAACGTGCTATACTAGCTAACATTCCTAAAGCTCAACATCCCACACACTCTTATCCGATCATACATAGATCCCTTGGTTAGCTTCGTTGGTGAAAGAGTCCATAAACGTGGCTACATAGAGCTACTGACGACCTTCAGATCACCCCTTAACTCAAGGAGAATAATGGTCAAATACCTACTTGTCAAGGCAAGCATGTCCAAGAACATTATTATTGGTCGACCAACGCTAAACATCTCGGAGTTGTTGTAACCCCACACCTAACAATGAAATTCCCCAGGAATGATCGCCATATAATCTCCGTCAAGGCAAATAAGATAATAGCCTGATAATGCTACATAGAAAGCCTGAAAGTGTCATCATTCACGGTCAAGATCCCACACCAGGATAACATAGGGGATGATCATCCTTCCTCTACGATAGTCTATTTTGCTAGTACCGAGATCACCGAACTGGACCCAAGATCGGACATCAACGTTTATCGACCAAGCCCCATCAACGACCTAGTGGAGTTCCAAATTGGCCAGCTACCAGAGCAGTGCGCAAAGATTAGTCAACACCTTGACCTCGCTCTACAAAACCAAATCATGACCGAGATTGTCAAGAATGCTAACCTCTTTGCTTGGTTAAGCGTCGACATGCTCAACATAGACCTCAACCTTGTCTGCCACAAGCTAGCAATCCACAAAAAGGATAAATTAGTGGCTTATAAGAAAAGGAAAATCGGCAAAAAATGATGAAACGTTTTGGCTATCGAAACTCGAAAGATACTAAACGCAGGATTTATCTAAGAAGTAAGATACACCACGTGGTTGGTAAACGTGGTAATGGTCAAGAAGAACTTCGACAAGTAGTGTATGTGTGTCGACTATACCGATCTCAACAAGGCTTGACCTAAAGACACATACCCGCTATCATTCTACCGAGCATTGACAAGCTAGTCGATGGAGCATCAGGTCACGCCATCCTTAATTCCCTCGATGCCTACTCTAGCTAAAACCAAATCATGATGTACCTGGCAAACGAGGAAAACACAACGTTTATCAGCGACCAATCTAATTTCTACTACGAAGTCATGCTACTCGGCCTCAAAAAAACATGAGAGCCACCTAGCAAAGACTGATGGATAAAGTATTCTACCCCCCACCACCTCGAAAGATGTAACTACATTAGTTGCCACATCCTTCTCAGCCTTAGAAGACTTCTTCTTTCGCTTATGCTGAGGATGAAGACTGCCCTGATCCTCCTAAACATTGGGAATCTCTTACTCTTCAATGTTGAATTTGGCCTTTAACTCGCGCCATTTACTCTTAACCATGAGATCTCCAAATAGAAAGCATTGCACAAGAAGTGTTATTAAAAAACGCATAAGTCTCTCATAATGAAATCAGCCAAACACATAAGTGAATACTCTCTTTCTAAACTCTTGTCCTTATTCTTTGAGCTAGAAAGAGAAAGGATGCCCCTGCTCTCCAAAGGTCGAGGCAATGACTACAACTTGTCTATATCCTCCTCATTCAAAGCAATCAAGACAAAACCATCGGAGCCAAAAAAATTTACAAGATTCTGTTGCCAATAAAAGGGGAACCTTGGCTCCTTGTTAAGGTGGAAAAGGTGCTTGGCCAACAGGTTGGTACAGACAAGTCGGACCTTAAAAAATTCTTCCTTAAAATTCTTATAAGATTGGGAGAAAAGTTGGAATAGGCCCCCCTTTAAACTACCACTAAAAGAAACCCAACCAAGAGGTAAATCTTCGAGTTTCAATTGATAAAAATACATAAACTTGGCCAAAGACACCTCTATCCCAATGAACAACCATAAAACTTGGAATGCTTGGAAAAAACCCCAACTATTCAAGTGAAGTTGACTAGGGGCGACGTTAATCTGCCTAACGAACGCACACTTGAAAGCAATAAAAGGGACAAAAAGACCAACGTCCCTGAAAAGACATTGGTACATGTAGAAAAATGGGGGAGAAGACGAACTCGATAGAAACATGCATTTGTTAAGTCAGTAGGGCTCGACCATAATGAGTTTAAAAAGAAAGGATGAGCAGATCGCCAACTTACTTCGAAGCAAGTTGATCTCGGACACAAACTTAAACTTACTCTCGAACTTACCAACATCACCCTTCACACACTCAAACCCAGAAATGGAAATCAAAGGATGAGAATCTTTCTTATTGTTACCAGCATGCTTCCTCTTCTTCTTGTCGACACCATCAACGATGACTTTCCCAGACACTACTTCCTTTTCCACCATAGTTTTGCCTTTCCCCTTGGTAGAGTGCCTTAAACAAGGCAGCATAGAGGGCTAGAATGGGTGCAAGAAGGAGAAGAACCTAACTCCTTATCCCCTTCCATACCAAATGCTACTCAGGCAAATGCATGATAAAGAAAAAGAAGGGAAAAAAAAAAACAATACTTGAGATGCTAAGACAGACTCCTCAAAGTGAATAGTATAACAAACTTAGGAGCAACGATGGTAGAAGATGAGAAAATGAAGAGCGACAAGCGAAAGGGCAACGAAAAGAAAGCGCAAAAAGAAGAGTAAAGTGAAAGAGAAGAGTGGGAACCATGACCATGTAAGAAAGCCTTATAAGGCACTACTCGACAAAACCTTCAGACACATAACCCCTCATTAAATAGCACCATCATGACATGTGCAGCCCGTCATTAAGAGGTGCCACATTTCATCAAAGAACGTGCCATTTCAAAAATCAATAGCACAAGACCCAAGATAAGTCGCGACATTCCCACAAGTCGCCTCAAGAGATCCTCCACTCTTCCATCATTCAGAGCTCAGGAGGTTAATGTACCAACCCAACCAAGTCAATGAGCTCGGCCAAGGATAAAAGACATCAACCTTAAGCAACATCGGCACACCACATTGACCATGTAAGGCCATGTCACCCAAAAACCTAGTCAATGATATAAGGCATGGTTACGATGCCCATACTACAAAAATCGTAACACCCGTAGATAAGATAACCCCATATCTAAAAAGGTACGTGCATAATAAATAAGGGACATCATCATCAGATACTAACTTAAGCATCTCAGTCTCTTTTGCAGATACTCCCCCATTAAAAGAGATACATCACCAAGAGAAACAAAAAGAAGGATGTTGCCCAGGGAAGTCGATACAAAGGCTATTCCAAGTGAGAACAATAGGTATTTGTACTATATTTTACCTTCATGAAGGATGCAAATGATATTCACGCTTATGTATGTATACTAAATATTTCATTAGCATTAATCACGAGAAATTCTACCGTACTCTTATATATTGAAAGGTTTTGAAGCTATTTTTGTTTTTTTTAAAATACGTGAATATTAGATTTTAGAATTATTTTATCTTTTTTATTTTAATATATATATTTTTTAAAAAATTTAATATATATACAAAATGTTTGAATTTAGTAAGGATTTATATATATATATATATATATATATATATATATATATTATGAATCATGATGAAACTGAGATTCTTAACACTTGTGTACAAATTATGAAGAATGAGTTGAATAAAAAATTCACAAAATCTCTCTCTACTTCAACAAATAGAATCTTATTGTATTTTTTTTAAAGTTATTTTGAGTTTTACAAAACGATTCAAAACACTTAAACCAATACTTGACAAGAAAAAGTAAATTAATTATTTAGATCATCTTTTTGCCAAGAACACATCACTAAATATAAAGAGAGAGAAAGTAAAAGTAAAAAAGAAAAAAAAATTCATACTTTACATTATTTTTATTAATTTAAAAAACAGACACCCAAAACACTCCAATTTATAAAAATATTGTGGTAACTCTCACTTATCATTTCACTGTATATGTTATATTTATTACATTTTTTAATTGTTAATTAGAAATTAGTTGTCTATAAATAACTTTTTTTAATAAGACATTAAGAATATTCACATGCACACAAAGGATTATGTATGGATGATAAATAACAATAATACATTTTAATTTTAATTAACACTTTCTCTTTATTAAAATAATATCTTCTAACACTTAAATTTATGTATTAATTATCTTCTAAAATATACTAATTCATTAAAATTCACGTTAACTTTATTTTATTATTTTACCTATCAAAATTATAATCAATGACATTGAAATTCAAATTTAAAATTTTTTATATACTATTTTAAATTTCACTACGTAGTTGACTTTATTATATATTTTAAAGATAAAAGAGAGTATTGAAAGGAAAAACAAAAACTAAAAAAAAAAAGTCTATTATCATGACTCCTCTATTTGCATTCAGGCTTGAAAAAAGAAAAACATATTAAAGAGAGAAATAAGATACTTGATTTGGTTGTCGTTTTGTTTTCATCATTTGGTTGGCTGCTTTCTTCATCTCTTGTGACTTTGACTGAACTGTTTCTGGCATCATCTTCTTCCGATTCTGATTCATATCCATCCTCAGGAAGCACTTTTCGCCCAAATTGCAATTAATTAACGAAAATAAGTACCTTAGCATTATTTATTGCATCTATCTCGACAAAAAGAAAATTACTAATAATCAAAAGGAACAGATATTTAATTCATGTGTTACTTGTTAACAGATATTTAATGTTACTAATAATCAAAAGGAACAGATACTATGTCCCATGTCACTTGTTAACAGATATTTAATGTTACATGTATTGTTGTACTATTTAATTATATAAAAAAAATATAAGGTTGATGGTTTTAAATATAGTAGTTAATAATTTTTTTTTTTGCATACCTTTAATTTATCGTTAATTTATTAATAAAACATCTACTTATTTTTTTTTTATTTTATAAAAATCATTCTCAATAGTTAAAAAAAATATTTTTTAACTTTTGAATAGTACCATTAAATATAATTACTGTGATATAGATATTTTTGTTATAAGATTTTAAATTATGATCTTATTAATTAATTTAACTATTTTTTATTGATCTTAATGAATTAAATATATTTATTTTTTATATAGAGATATGGAGCATAGTATATATACGAAGTGTTAAGTTCAACACTTAACACTTGTTACCTTTAAAAAGAAAAATAAATAAATAAATAAATAAATAAACTTAACACTTGTTGCTCGTAATCAAAAAGAATAATTTGACAAGTAAAAAAAATAAGAGTGAAATGAATGAAGTGAAGACAGTGACGTACATTTATATATGAGTGTCTTTGTAAGTCCCATTTTTCGGGTATCTGTGCTCTCGAAAGCCATTGGCATTTTTGATAACACCTTTAAACAGGCAATTCCATCCTTATCCTCTTCATCTCTATTCTCTTCCCCAGTATTGTTTGGAAGTTTCTTAACCTTTTTTCGAGCAAGACGTTTACCTATGTTTTCGAGCAACCAAATAGCAGTGCCTGTGGTAAAGAAAAGGTTACACATTATGACATTAAGCAGATACATACCCGACCAATTTGTTCTGAACTCCCTCTCCCAATTTAGTTTTTAATATTATAGAATCAAATTCAACATTTGAGAATAAGGGGATTAAATTAAATATTTCAAAATAAAAAATATATATTAAATAATAATTTATCGAACAAATTTATTGTTTTTTTATTTAAATAAATTTGACTTTTAATTAATTAATTAGTATTTTCATTTACTTATAATATTTTCATTTATAAAGAACTTATTATTCAATCAATTAATAAGATCAAAAACACTAAAAAAATGTTATATAATGACACACATCTTATAGTTATATAATATGTATCACTAAAAATTACTTTTATTCTCATAATAAATATAATATATGTTGATATATTGTTAAAAAATGTGTATATATAGTGACAAATAAAATATGTTATTAAATCTCATTCAAAATCAACATTAAAATTGTATATAATTATATGTCAAATAGATATGTACTTACGTATATTATACATATAATAACATTTTTTTTATGTCATTATATGTAACATTTTTTGTAGTGAAAGAATATTAATATAATAAATATAATTTTTAAAGGTTAAACTAGTCTTAAAAGTTAAATCACTTAAACTAACTTTGACCAAAATTTAAAAGATCCATAATGCACCATTTTACCTTATCATAGAATTATATGGGTTCAATTATTAACCATCTTAAAAATTGTGATTTATATTTGGTTGATTGTGGAAAGCTTTTTACATGGTATATTACCATTAAACCTAAATTATATTAAGAAAACTAGTCAATAATTAAGTTTTATTCATCACATACATGTTTAATACATTATTTAGTCCCTAATTAAATTTCTTGGGAAATTTCAATTAAGTCTTTAAATTAAAAAAAAATTGTAATTTGATCTTTATAAATCTTTTTATATTTTTATAATTTAATTCTAGAGTTAAAAATTTATTTACGATCTATAAAATTTTACAAAATATTTCCTATATCATTGCACATGAACAAACACATTAGATTATTCCATATCATTATTTATATTGTTTCATGCTTTAATTCCTAATCCTAATCTAATAATAAGAATTCTAGATTAGTAAGAGTTTCTTTTATAGATAATGATTAAAATCTAATACATACATAAAAGTGATTGTTCAGATATGGAAATATAAAAATAAAAATAAAAATTGTGAAATTTTATAGATTTTAAACAAAAACAAATTTCTGACTCCAACGACTAAAGTACCAAAAATATGAAGCATCTCATTATAACTGTTTTCATAATTTAAAGACGTAATTAAAAATTCTTAAAAACTTAAAGAACTAATAAAAATGATATGTTAAACCTCGAAGATAATAAGGAACTTACCAAAATTAAAAGTGAGCAGACAATAATGAAGAATTGGACGCTTCAATCCCTTAAATAGTTGGTCTGGAAAATGCTTATACTCAATGCCATAGTTTGCATGCAAGTGCTTGAGCACACGTAGCATCCCATACTTTGCAGCCCTATAAGCTGGGGTTTCATTAGCGTTGTTTACTATCTCCAGAAGTGGCTTTTTATCATGTTCCATCATCTTATCAACTTCCATGATCACGTCCACCATCTTTGGATCATCCAGCAACATCACCTCGTGAAGAACTGTGTTCCCTTCACAATTCTGCCACCTCAACGCATCTAATTGCTCCGTGTGAGATAGCATGTGGAGTAATTCTATCAAGACTTGTTGTTGTTCGCGTCCCGAGCGAGCTACTACATGAATTGCAGTGTTCCCAAACATGTCAAAAGGCTTTTTCAGTAACTCCTTGTTGTTGATGATGGCCTTGAATTGTTCCCACTTTTTCATAGCTGCTGCTTTCTGTGCTTTCACTATTTCATCGTCGAATTTAAAATATTCCTTCTCGTCCTTTTTTTCCTTCTCAGACATATTAACAGTACATGTGTTGATACCTAAAGAGATAAAAAAAAAATAATCGAAAAGTATAAACACAGTAATAGGATGGTATAGAAAGAGAAATATATATAAAAAAAATTAAGTATACACAGATTAATAAAAGTGTTTACTTGATAAATTGGTGTAGTGATCAGTTACCTTACAATACACGATGTAGAAACAATCTATGTCACAAAGAATTTGTGTTTAATCTCTATTATATGTGAAATATGTTGCGATGAGAGATATCTATGGTAGCTAGAACCCAAAAAGAATATTAATAAAATGTTATGATGAGTGGTGAATTAATGTATTGATGTTCTTATATATCATTGCTTTGAAGCTTTGCACACTTACACAAACATGCAATGATATTTGGTAATACTGAATGAATGATCTTCTATATATAGAGAGTGAGATATAGTTGGAATTGTGGTGGGGCCAACTTTGAGAGCTAGTGAACAAATTCACTTATTGTTGTATACTCTGCTTCTGCCTTTTCCTATCTTTTAGCACAACTTGCGCATGTGTAGCTTTCAATCTTCAATAATTTTTTCTCTGTCTAACGAGCATAAGAATAGACGTGCTCTACAAGTTTTATGTGTTACAAAGCATAAGTTACTATAGGTAAAGCATATTTTTATCATTGCAAATATGTTTAATGCATATAAATATTGTTCTCCAGTTTTTTTGGTTAGTTTTGAAAAATTCTAAAAAAAAAATAATTTGGTTTCTATATAACCATTTTTAAAATAATAAGAGTTTAATTCTATATATTGTTATAATAATATATATATATATGGAGGCGCATGCGAGAAAGAATGACTAAGAGAGAGCGTTACGTTTTTTAAATAGTTACAGTACTTTTAAGATTGGTTAAATTTTAACTGATCTTAAAAGTACTTTTTAGATTATCTCATTATTTTAGATTATCATATTATTAAATGATAATCTTAAAAGTACTTTTTAGATTATCTCATTATTTAGGATATCATATTTTTTTTATCATTTAATAATTTGATTTGATTTAAAATTTATAATTCATTCAAAATCAAATCATACTTAATTTTTTTTAATTCAAATACCTTTTAAGATAAAAATTAAATTAAATTTAGTCCACAAACACCTCTAGTTATCTCATTATTTTAGATTATCATATTATTAAATGATAAAAAAAATATTATCATATTATTACAACAGTAATATCTTTTCCTTAAGATTATAATATTAAATTTTTTAAATTATCTTTATATATATATATATATATTTTTTTTTTCAATCGAAATTACAAATAAAGTCACTATAATTTAAACTTAAAATTTTATGCCTCGTGTTGGAATACCCTACAATCTATAAAAGTTATGTTCTCTTTTTAAATATAAATTTCACTAACTATTCCCGTAATTAATAAAAAAAAAGTACTTCTTTACTTAACCATCTTAAACTACCCTCGTTTTATTTATTTATTTATTTATTGTATGTATATTTGATTTTCATAACAATTTATCTCATTCGGTCTATCTTTCTTCAGCTCTATTTCAAAATTAAGTTTTAATGTTTTTAAAAGAAAAATTTGATAATTTAATATAACTTTATATCACAATTTAAATATTATTTATTTTAAAGAAATCCAAATTAATATATATTTTAAATTTTTATTTATTTATTATAAATTTTAATTATAATGTAATTTGTATATTTAAAATAGTAATTTAATTATTACGATTTTTGATTATACAAAAATAAACATAATTTTGGATATCATAAGAGTGTTCCAAGAATTAGTGATCACAAAAAATGCGAGAAAAAAAAAAC